GGCTTGAAGCTAGCAGGAAGGAGGTAGAAACGCTGATACGCAAACAGACATCAGTCTGATGGCATCAAACTCAGTGAACAATGGCAACATGGAGCAGAGTCACTGTGTTGGAAATATCGGCGGAGGGATGATGATGCCAATTGTGCTTCAAAAAGTGGAAGAGATGACAACTCGATTTCGTCATATGGAGGATATGTTAGAGGTCCTGATGAGACAGGTGAATGGGAGGGCAGACTGTCAAAGCAGTCCAAGACAGCCTGCACAAGTTGAGCAGAGTGGAGCATTGCAGGTGAACGGATACAACTGGGGTCGACGCATTCGCCTTCTGCCAGAAGATTTTTTATGGCCAAAGATGTTCGTTGATGTGGCTTACGAGTGGTGGATGCAAGGAAATGCAGAAAAAGGGTATCCACCATTCAAAAACCTGGAACCGAGTGATTTTGCCGACCAGAATGCAAGGAAACGTTTGAGTGACTTCAGGTATCTGATGGGCAAAATAGACCAATGTGCACAGGAGAAAGGAGTGTATAAGGAGAACGCAACCATGGAGGAAACCAAGGAAATCTTCAAGCAGTGCGTGGAATGCTTGAAACTACCGAGGAAAGAAGGGAGGCAACGACGGACCTGGCAGTCTGTAGCGACCTGGTGCAGAGAACAAGACGGATTGCATCGTTGAGAACCAGTAGTTAGACGAATGAGATGATTACAGTGACAGATTTTATAGCAAAACATATGACGTACGCAAGTGCCGATATTCCACAGAAAAAATGAGTGGTAATGGACGTGTAGGAATGAAGAACGAAGGTGATGGTGGACTAAGGAGTTGAGGTTGTCTCTTTCCTTGCGATGTGGCAATATATTGATGAGATTTGAATCGTGAGATTGTAGTTCAAGATCATTGTGTACATCATACATCCCATTGTCATATGGCTAGCTATGATGTAAAGAGGAAAAGAATGCTCTCATCTACTCAGAATCGCTCACAGCACCGTCTTTCATCCTCTTCTGAAGCCATTGCGCAAATTTTATGGGAAATTTATTGCGAACTATAAACTTTCATAAATTCTGGTACAACCCGAAAATCGGATACATAATAATATGATCCGGAAGAAACCTCCTACCCATAATACCCATAACTTTCTGCCAAACCCTGCGGATCCCACCCCTACCCCTTAATAAATTTAGAACTACCCCTGTAAAATCATACCTTCAATCCATGGAGGTACATATCCAACTCAGTATAATATCCCTTTGCAGAGTCCTTTATCTAGACCCCTACCCCACCAAATTCAATACCACCCCATTACTTTATTATGACATTGGCAGAACCTACCCACCCCTGTCTGCTATGTAGTGAAGAGTTCCCAGCAAGCAGAGGCGCATTCGAACGAGCAAGGAAGAAAAACCATATTGCAAGAGCCAGTCGGTAAGGAACAGATGCCCGCTACAGAGAATCAGACGATTCCCCCTCGACAGACAAGCAAAACTTCGCATGACATGCTTTCTGGAGACTTGGTGTACGACAAAAGAAAACTTCCAATCATTCAAAAAAGAGTGGCGAAGGAGCTGAAGCACGACGCCTTCGCGTCATGTTACAAGCCTGAAGTACTTTCATATGCATGGAAGGTGTACTACGACG